TGGAGATACAGATTACTGATTGGAGCAAGCTTCAAACTGCAGAAAAAAAGAACACAATATAAAAAACTAATTGTTTTGAAACAAGTGTTGGGTAATCGTCTATTGAAAAACGTCAAATTTTAAACTCCATAATTTATACATGCAATTTTAATTATATAAAAAATAAAAAGTGAAACAACGGTGGCAGCAAAAGTTGCACTTGTCACGGTAAATTGTTCTACGGACGCACCGATTCCTGTTAGTTATTCTTCGGTCCCTCTAGTCGCAGATACCTTTTCCTAAGTCTCGACGGTTGCGGAAACATTTCATCGGTCTGCAAACACTGGAGATGCGAATTTACTGCAAAACTAAAAAAACTTAACAAATTTTATAAGACAAAATTTGAGTAATTTTTTTTTCAGATTGCTTAAACTGTTTTCAGCAGAAGAAAAAACCGGGCTTTCAACTAAGTGTGGTTTAGTCCGAGATCAAAAATTAGACCAACAAGTTTGCGCCTAATTTTATAAGGCCAACTTCAGATGCGATCAGTTTCATCTAGAATGATTTGTAGAGCGCAAATTCTATATTCGCTTTGTGCACAGAAAAACGACCTTCAAGCATTAGAAAAAATAAGAGTTAAGACAGGCTTTTTTCAAACTTTCATGGCTTCATAAATTGGTTATGCTTATTTATAGTGATTTCAAATGTGGGAATTGTGCCAATTTGGGGACAATTATTGTGCCAATTATTGTTGTGCGCTGGCTACATTAACAGTGTTTATTGACATATGGCTGGAAAATTGCTCCGGTGTAAAAATAATTCCATTTTGATTCATTTCAAGGCTGGTGAGTATTGCCAAAAAATTTGTATAATGATTCTTATGAATGTTTTTAAGTCAAAATGTTAATTCTAAAGCTCTTACTCATTTTTCTGAATCATTTTTCCTATTTTTCCATTAAACAAAAGGAATGTTTGCTTGCTTTGTTTTTTAGTCATTTTTCGGCCTTTTAATTAAGCGAATCTGAGAAAAGTTTTTATTGTTCCGACTTTCGATACGAAAGTAACGGAATATTTGTGCTCGGGGTGGGTTTTTTTTCTTCAGACAAATTTCCACTATTTAACTAGCCGTTTTTGACAAAATTTTTTAATATCATTCGAAAGGTATTGTTGTCCTGAGCTCAAATTTGAAAAGATATTTTACCTGTGATCATGTTTCGTAAAGTTATGGGGGTTTAAAGATTGCCATTTTGGCCAATTTGGGACAATTAACGCGCGATACTTTTCGCGCTATTAACGCGTAAGCGGAGAGTTAATCCGTATTAGAATTCGTTACAAATTGGTTAAAAGAAGCTTATTCGCTATAACTGGTTTGTTAAAAGGAGCAAAATTTATCCTTTTGTACTTTGTATGGCGTGTGGGGGGATGATTTTCATAAAAAATTTCAAAGTTTTAGAAGAAAAAATTTTTTCATTTTATTTTTTCTTACATTTAGTTTTTTGATGTTATTAATGCTCCATAAACCTCAAAAGGCAGTCGGAACATTCAGGGCCTCGCCCTGAAGCGAGCAGTCTTGTTCCATTTTTCGGAAGATATTGTTGTCAATCCAAATTGAAATGATGCAAAACATGTGTTCTTTATATTAGAATACGCTATGTTAAGTACATCCACTTGAACCCTACATTAGCGCGTGGGTGTCCATTAAAGAAAAATTAAAGAAATAAAGAAAAATTAAAGGACAGTCAGAAATGTCAATAATACCCTCCGATACGTGCAATTTGTAAATTGTATAATTTTCTTTTCACAGTACAGAAACTATACTCAGAATACGATCAGAAAGGGAACAAGACTGCTCGTATCAGGGCGAAGCCCTGAATGTTCCGACAGCCGTTTAAGGTTTATGGAGCAGTAATAACATTGAAAAAATTTAATGTTATAAAATAAACTGAAATTTTTTTTTCTAAAATTTGATTTTTATTAAATAAAAATCATTCCCCCACACTCCATATAGAGTACAAAAGGATAGATTTCGCTCCTTGTAACAAATCAATTATGGCAAATAAGCTTTTTCAACCATTTTGGAACGATTTCTAAGATCTTTAAGCCCCCGTAACTTTACGAAAATTGATCACAGGTGAAACATTTTTTCAAATTTGAGCTGAGGGCAACAATACCTTTCGAATGATATTTGAAAAATTCCCTCAAAAATGGCTAGTTAAAAAGTCGAAGTTTGTCTGAAGAAAAAAATCCATCCCGAGCACAAATATTCCGTTACTTTCGTATCGAAAGTCGGAACAACAAGACTGCTCGTATATCTGAACGTTCCGACTGTCCCTTAATTATTATCGAATAATTTTTGGAAAAAGAAAATATTGAAAACCTATAACTTTTGTACAAAATCAAAGTGTAACAAATTCGAGTCGTGCGAACTAATACGACCAATTAGCTGGCCTCAATACAATTTGGAACGATTTTTTTTGAGCGGGATAACTCGCAACGCATAAATAATTCGCGTTACGCTCTCAGCATTTAAAAAAACTCTTCAAAGCGCGCATAAAGTCCAGAACATGGTAAATTTGGCAATTTTCAAATCTTCACATCTTGACAAAAAATATTCTTTTGAGGTAAAATATCTTTTTACATTCGAGGAAGTCGACATCTTCAATGGGGTATAAAAAGTTTTTGATGAAAACTAAAATTTCGATCGGCGAAAATTGACTGAATAAAAAAAACCACACCGAGCATAAATATTCCGTTTTCTTCGAAAGTCCCAAACATAAACATTCCGTTTTATTCGAAAGTCGGAACAATAATTAAAATTTAAAAAAATGTTTTTAAATGCCTCTGCGCTTCACTAAGTCTATAGTTTGATAGGCTTGAGACGTTCTTTTGGCTCCTATAGCCTATCAGCCTTTTGTATTGTTCGCTTCTTTGTCTTTGGGGTCTTTAAAATGAACAGGAATGTTTGGAAACTAGAATTGTCGACAGGGGTATTGTAACCATTTGTTTCTCTATCCGTCCTGACTTTGAATGAGGACGCGCTTTTTGTGTGTTCTTGTTGGTATGATTTATGATATAAATCACAATTTTGTGCTCGTTTTATTCCCCCATTCTATTGTTTTCACTTGTTACTTTTCAAGACTCTCTGAAAATGTTCTTTTTTCCTTCTTTATGGTATCAATTTTCCCTTGAACGGCAATATTAAGTTAGTTATCTTGCAGAAATTTAAGCTTGTCTATTTTCATTTTTGATTCATTTCATCGGCTATTTGGCTCTGCAATTTTTAGTTGAAAAGAAAATAAGCTCGAAGTTTGCTTCAGCTGTGGAGCTTTACATGAAATAACAAACAAAGTAACACTTAACTGAAAGTATTAGAGCCATTCGCACATTCTGAAAGTGTTGAATGTAATTCCCTGTTCATTACTGTATTGCCCTAAAGAAGTTCTCAAATTCTTGATTTTTAAGAGAAGAAACATTATGTTGGCTGATTAAAACTGTCACACTAACACTCTGTTTCCTTCCGAAACAATTCACTCCATTAAATTCCCTTTTCTTTCCCACTTGTGAATAGTCTGGTGCTGTTCAGTCTTCTCATAAACAATGCCAGCCAGCTGTTCCCTACATGGCCAGGATTTAATTTCCCCTCTTCTGCTCTGCTCACTTTAAATCCAACTTGTTTATCTTCCAAGTGTCCCCCACCATGTTTCAGACGCCTGTCGTGACCTTGTCGGGTCAACTGAGTCGTCTAACGTCCGCAAACTCAAACGAGAGAAAATAAATAAAAGCAGTACTGAGTTATTAATAGAGGCCTAATGTTTATGCCATTTTGGCCCCCCGTGAAAAGTTCATTCCAAGCTAGGCAGCTGACAGTTTTTATTGGGAAAAGCAAACCACGAATTATCAACAAGTGACAAACTTCTTCAATCCATCAAACTTTGAACTGAATGTCTGATGTTTGATTTGAACAAACTGGACCATCGTCTGCAAATTTCACTCACACGCTCCAGATGCAGAGTGGTACAGTAACTCCCTAGACCATTTGCAATGTTGAGGGGAAAGCTTCGACTAGAATTATGGTCATATCAAAAACACTCTTCTTATTTAATGCTGAACAACTAATAACACATCGCAGCTGTTTCAATGACTTGACGCGCCAACTCCAAAAAGGGCAATGTAGGGCGGAGGGGGGGGGGGGTGTTCTAGAAGTAATTCAATTCAGAGGAGGTCCAAAATCTTATTTCTTTTTTTATGACTCGGCGTGAAACAACAAGCCAGGTCGCTTCTTCATTTTCATTACATTTCTGACTCATAAAAACAGCTCTGATTACAAATGTGTTTCCATTTTCACCCTATTCGCAGCTTAATTTTTTTCCATGCACTAACTGTAACTCCTGGAAAACTGATCAGCTGATCAAAACAAGACGGCACACTTTGAGAGTTGGAGAGCTTTTTGTCGTAGAAGTTATGGGCAGAAAGAGTCTTTTGAAAGTTTTACGAGATTTCAGTGAATCTTTTTGCTCGAGTTTGAAGCAAAGTGGCCCAATTTTCTTAAACTTGCTCTTGAACAAATCATGTTAACAATTTATAGGAGGTGACAAACTATGCATAACTGGGCTCTTTTTTATTATTTATTCCCCCCAACCATTTATACTGAACAGTACAAGATCCTGGACAGACCAATTGAAAAACTGATGATATTTAAGTACTTGTACAAATGCAAATTAAGTGTCCATTGTATGTTTGATAAGTTTTGGAACCATTTGATAAGTTTTGGAACCATTATTTTTTTGACTAATACGGGATATTCAAAAAAACTAATTTCAATTAGCTATCAGAGCTTCGGTGCTGATTAAAAGCAGTCTCGTTGCGTTTTCAGTCTCTTTTTTGTTTTCATATGATAACTTTTTGCCAATCGAATAACTAGGGAATTATGGTATGATTTGGCAAGGTTTTTGGGAGTTTGAAAAGATATTTTAACTGTTTGAAGGATGAGGATAGGAGAAATTGAGGTGTTGGTCTTTTAGTTGTGATGTTTCAGGTGGCCTGTCACGTGATCATCAGCTGGAACTTGAATTTGTAGGAGCAACTTCTGCAGCTGCCACACAGAGTGCTTTGATGATATCTCAGTGCTCTGCTTCTCACACAGCAGCTGGGGCAGTTGCTGCTATACAAGTAGGGGGGCAGCTAGCTCCTCATCCTCACACACCTTCCCCTTCAACATTGACCAGGTCAAGTGGGCTCACTCAGGGGACAGGGACGGGGACGGGGGCGGAGTCAGTGGTGAAGTGTGCTGTAGTGGGGTTGGGGCGAGACTCAGACCCTGAGAGCGATCAAGTGAGTTCCTTCCTTTGATTTTGGAACAAGGGGCGTGCACTTTTTCCTTTCCATTCATTAACACCGGCGGTCAGTTTACATAGCCCCTAACGGATAGTTTTAGATGAAAAGTATTTGGATGCTAGGGAACTTTTTGCTGAATTTCTCCCAGTTGACCCGTAGATCCTATTTGCAATAAGAGTTTAACGGAAGCAATTTCCAAAAAAATATATCGTTGGATTGGTTCGGCCTTGGAAATTACTGAGGTTGAATGGTATGAGATTATACTGTATGTAAAATGAATGGAGGTTATTACTCCTTGAAGATGCTTAGACTGATCGCATCAAGAAATGTTGATATATACAGTCGCTTTAGGGGTTTTAGGGGGCGGGGTTCGACCCCTGTCGAACCAAAGGGTCCCCCTTTGATATTATTTTGGCTGACCGCCCTTAATTTTTTCTAAGGACCAAAATCTTTGGGTCCAACGTTTTCGTAAGTTCTCTTTGGCGCCAAAATCTACTAGTTTTGAGGTGTGTGCCCACGGGGAGCACAAAATATGCGTGCGGCGCAGAAACTGTGGTCAAAATGAGGTCTACTGTCAATACTATAAATACTAGGAGCAGTTGAGTAGGCCCCCCTATTTGGATGCTTGCTAGACTGGAGAATGAATGAATGAATGAATGAATAGATGAGGTGCATATCTATGATGTGGAATGATTAGATATCAACTTCACCTCAGATGACTCTAGAAGGATCATTTCACCACACATCATCATCATCATCAAGACCAATACCCCACCTGACAACAACAACAACAACAACAACAACAACAACAACAACAACAACAACAACAACAACAACAACAACAACAACAACAACAACAACAACAACAACAACAACAACAACAACAACAACTGCAGCCACAAATCACGTGGCCACGCACACCAACTACATCCTACGTGCTGCAAGACCCCCCTCCAGATGTCTCTACTCCATCTGGTGGTGCGGGAGGAGTAGGAGGGGGAGGGGGAGGGGGAGTGAGTCTGGGCGAGCAGAGGGTTAAGTTGGAGGAGGCGAGACTGCAGCTGGACCGACTGAGGAATGGGTGGGAACAAGTGAGACAGTCGCACACCCTCGCCATCAAAGAGGTCAGTGAGTAGTCAGTCAGTATAAGTATCACTACACTCACCCACAAACCTTGTTTTGACGCCAAACAGTTCGGGAAAAGAAACCAACTGTACCTTAAATGTATATTAATGCCCTAGTTCTAATTTTCACATTCACAGCAGGACAGGTACTAGCCACTTAATCTTCCACATCTTTCAAAAAAGCTCTTTTGCTTAATTTTATTATCAAGTCAACATGGACCTACCTTGAGCGTTAGAGGGTGCTGGAGAGTATAGATCTACTTGATTCTAAATTGGCATTTTTAGTCAGTCACAACCAATTATTTCATGCTCAATGCTATGCAAGTTTAGAGCAAACTGAATAAATTGTGGTCGGGGGATGGGGATGAGGATGGGGATGGGTGGGGAGTATTTAAACTGTTTTATTTGGTGGGAGGAGGATGTTCACTTACTGCCTTGTGTGTGATGTGTGTTGTTGTTGTTGTGTGTTAGTTGGGTGAGAAGAGGGCACGAGTGTTGGGCCAGTTGAGGGGGGAGGAGGCCAGTCTGGGAAGGGAGAGGGAGGCCATGCAGCTGATCCAGAGGAGACAACGGGTGCTGCAGAGAGCCACAGACACCACACATCGAATGGTAAGATAAGAGAGAGAATTATTAGAGAAGAGAAGAGAAGAGAGCTCAAAAGAAACACCATCTTAAGCAACAAACGGGAGGAGGAAAGGGAGTAAAAAAAACTACAGGGTATTCTCACGTCAAAAAGCCAGAACTGTAAAAAAATTACAATAAAAACCGATCAAAATCTTTAAACGGTCCCAAAGTCTGACCAGTGTTGTCCACATGTATATGTGGACTTTTTTAGGCCAGCGATACCGCATTTTTTAATCTCTGTAGAAACCCTAAAATGATCAAATTCGCCAATCCCGGGAAACTTTTAGTGAAAAGAGGCTCATTCTCTAACCTGTTATAATTAATGTATAACCGCAGCAGAGTATCTTGTGCTGGGAAAGAAGCGTCGGGGATAAGGTGGAAGTTTTCTGGCGGTGTGCTCAGATTTGCATTCCTCAGATGATTTAAGTTAAAAGTAGACAAAATTGATTGAAATTGGCTGAAATAAAACATGTACGAATAGAGGATTAGAATCCAAACTTAACCATCATTCATGAGGAAGTAATGGAAAGGGCTCAGGGGCCAATCTAAAATTATCTCGAGGAGGGGGGGTGGTGGTTTCAAAAAATTTTAAAAAATATTATCAACTTTAACCATATTGATTATCCGGAGCTCCCTCAAATTACTATAAAGACTTTATTTTGATCAAATTTTGTGCGCCGCAGGTAAATACTTAAAAAAAACAGGTCCAAGAAAGCGTTTTTGGGCACTATTTTAAAATTTTGACAAAAAAATTGTGTTGCTCCCTCGCGCTGCCCCCTCAAAATTAGTATATATTGTGGGGGGGGGGGGGGGGGGGGGGGTGGGGCAAAGGCGCCGTTATTAAGTTTGGGGTCGAATGGTTGTATCTATTAGTGTTATGTATTTTTGTGCAGTCGTCAACAGTAATAGTGGGAACCTCTGCTCTCAGCAGGGAGGAGCTGCAAAAGGCCGTCCTTATTGTAAGTACACCCCCCTAACACAGTCCCGTGACAGTGAAAAGAAGAGTGTAGCCCACCACATTAAGACATCATATTCAATAGGAAATAACTGCATGAGAAGGATTGAAGTGTACTGGTTGTAAATTAATCTAATCCTTAGAGAGTAGAGCATGATCAGTGCTATCGTGTGTCTTCACACCCTTTTCCCTTTTCCATTCCAGCTGACATTCATTTCATGATTAGAGTTTAACTTCAAGCATGGCTGAGGTAGCAAGATGCACGTTTAACAAAACTAAACAAGGATAGCCGGTTGCTGTTCCGACCACATTCTCAGAAAAAAAATTAACGCTCCAATTGTCATAAAAAATAAATTAATAAAAAACATGAAAAAAGATTTTTGAACATTTTTTGAACTAGTTTTCCAAAACTAGTTTTCTTTTTTTTTTAGCAAAATCAAGTTTTTTAGCCTAAATTGCTAGTTTGTATATATAACAAGCGTTACTCGATTGCTTTACTTGCTCGAAAATAAACGAAAAATCAATAACTTCAAACCAGTTTTTCTTGGACTTTTTTTTGCAAAATTTAATGTCGTTCAAATCACAACTAAAAGGGCTTCAATATGATATATCCTGTTCGATTATGATTTGTGGTACCTAATTTTGCTTGGAAAACAAAAAGTTATAAAAACAGGAAAAAAAAACTAAATTACATCCGAATACAAAGTTCCTCCCCGTTTTCGAGGGTCGGAACAACAAAAAAAGCTAGTCGCCGCAACTTGTATTTTTGTTTCCGGATTTCATACAATGCTATCATACAATTTTCATACATGGAGAAGGTGTGATTTATTTTGTTTGACTAGCTAAGTGTCTGCAATTGTATGAATAGCATTTTTTGTCAGCTATAGAGTTCAAACCGGTCATATACAGGTGTTTTAAACTTATTTTATATTTTTTATAAGATTTAAAAAAACTAGGATAGCCGTTTACTGTGCAAGTAGAACAGAACGTTTCGACCATAGTCTTAACAAAACAAGTTTTTTCAATTAATTTCCGTTTTTCTGCTGGGTGTGATAAAAGTATGTGAAGCAAAAACTAGAACTAAAAAAATTCGACATTCACAGTAAAATAGACAAACTGAACAAAAGTTTTTGAAGAGAAACGACCAGAAAAAAATCATCTAGAATTTTCAAAACAAAAAAAAACTTCAAAATGAACCATTTTGAACCTCAAAGTGTGCAAAAAACTGCAAAAACTATTTTTACTTGAGTAAAACTAAGTTTTCACTTGTAAATTAAGCATGAAGAAACTGTTCTGGGCGCCTGTTGTTTCGATTTACTGGTTTGAGTTCAGACTAAAATTAAAAACTGTTTTCGAAAACTTTTAAATATCCTTTGAGTCACAAATTGAAAATGTTCAATGTGATATATTACTCCGTCCATCCGATGATTGTTTTTGGTACCTGATTTTTGTGCGGAAAACAAAAGAAAACTAAAACATACCCGAATACAAATTTCTTTCCGATTTTGATGGAACAAAAAATTACAGAATAAAACAAGAGTAGCTGGATTTTGAATTGATTTGTTGTGCGTGCAAAGTTTGAATGAGGACAGGCATGGGAGTGTGTTGTTTGAGTCTGTTCACAATGTGTAGGAAGAGGCAAAAATGGGGAAACAGCTTGAGAAGATCGAGAGTCTTAAGAGGGACCACGAGAGGACGAACCGACTGCTGGACTCGTGTCCCGAGTCGCAGCACGAGGAACTGCTGCTGCAGTACAAGCGGGAGGCACTGCAGCTGGAGAGTGAGCTGCAGCTGTTTGAACAGATGGAGTTCTCACTCCTCGAGAGACAGCTGGGGGCGGAGGGGGCAGGGGCAGGTTCAGGGGATCCCCAGAGTAGCGCGGCACAGCTGACTGCTCAGCAGCAGCGCTCGCAGCAGATGATAGACAGAATACAGGTTTAACTTACACTCAAAAATCTTTTGTAATATAAGCTGATGATCATTGATTAAAATCATTCAAGAATATACGATACGGATATTGAAATCATGTACGGATTTATTCAATACAAAATATATTCAATGTACGGATTTTGAAATCAGGGGCGGATTTTGACATTTTCGAATATTTTGGCGCCTTTTTTAATTTACTTCAACCAAAATGATTTTTGAGCGCTATAAAAACCGTATTTTGACCAAAATTTTGCGCGGAAGGCAAATTAAAAAAAAACAGGCCAAAAAAAAGCGTTTTGTGAATTTTTGGAAAATTTTGACCAAAAAAGTGTTTTTTTTTCGGCGCGCGTTCCTCTTCAAAATTAAAATGTATTGGCGCCAAAGGCGCATATACAAAATTTTAGGGTTGTTTAGCCTAAAATGGATGTCATAAAGTGATACCAAAGGGGACCCTTTGGTTGGTGAGGGGGTCGAATCACTGAGGAAGGAGTGATCGGCAGCCGCGCCCATCCCCCCTCCCTCCCCTAAACCCTGACTAATTTAGAGTGTGACACTGACTATTTTAGAATGAATTTGTGTAGAGCGTTTGAGAAAAAGTGAAAAAGACAGGTTGAAGGATTTGGATGGTTTTCAGAGTGGTCTTAGGCTTAGAAGTGCATAGAAGTGGTTGTTTCCTGTCTCTCTCTCTATTATCAGGCGTCGCTGGACATTCTGCGGGAGGACGTGGGCAGGAAGGAGTGGGAGTTGGGACAGATGAAGGCCACCCTCCTCAAACACAGTGACCACTTCGCACACCAGATACACCAGGTGTGCATGTAATGTAACAAAGTGAACACAAACAACACTATCCGGTTGCAGTGCACACAGAAAACACATTTCATTTTTACTACATTACCTGGTCAAATTGTGCACTGGATAGGCGAACAGTTTTGTGTTTGTATGTTCCTGGATTCCAGAGACAAGTCTTAAAACATGTTATAATTTTGTTGGAACGATCAAAAAGATTGAAATATAAAACGAAGAACAAAAGGAGCGTTCTTGTTGCGGAATCCGCTCACAATTCACAAAATACACAGTTGGGCCTCGTGAATTACATTTTTTTCTTCATTTTTTTGTTATTTTCTAAATTTGTCTTAAAAATTTCAAACCAGATTTTTCTGAACACAGATAAAACAGATAATTTTTAAAAAATTCAAAATGTAAACCGAATTGATTGAAAGGGCTTTTACATGATATATCAATCAATTGTCTCAAATTCTACAATTCTCCAGGAGTTTTCAAATCGCTTAATAACCATACCCAACGAAGGCTGTTCTTCTAGATAGAAATGTTATATAGATTATCTAGCCAGTTGTATTTGTATTTTCTGTACAGAAATGATCTATTTATTTCTTAGTGTAGCAACACAATGCAAATTAAGACTTGTTATATCAAGTAATTCTTTGGATTAGCTTAAACTTTAGCTGAACTTCTGCTAAATTTCTGCTAAAACTATCATACAGTTCAGGTCATGTGGTCGGGCGTTTAGCACCAATGCCTAAATAATGGCAGGCCGGGAGTTCGAGCCTGTGGAGGAGAATTTTCCAGCTAAAAATAGCCTAGATTTAGTTAATTTCTGGTCAGAAAAAAAATGAGAAAAAAAAATTTAAGAAAATCCCTGCTCTATTTAAACATTTCACAAATAATTGCTGAACAAAAAATTAGATTAGATGTAAAAAATTCCAGGTCAGAAAAAAGGTTTTTCTCGATACGAGTATTATTGAAAAAAAAAGAAGCAAATTTTTTTTTGAACATGACCTTAATGTGTCAAAAGTTTTCAGCTCAAATAGTATAAAAGCTCCATCAAAAATTGACATTCTGAAATAAAAACAAAACATGTCGGACGAAAAAAAAACTGCACCGAGCACAAATTGCTCATCTACTTTTCAAAAGTCGGAACAGCTAGTTGATACGTCTCATGTTTGATAACTTCTCAGCTCATTGGACATACTAACAGGTTGTTAGTTCAAACTATTTCGAATCTTGGTAGAATATGAAAAGTACTATTTTAAAAACAAAACTGCTTGTATCAGGGCAAAGCCCTGTATGTTCTGATTGCTTTTTAATGTTTATGGAGCAGTAATAACACGAAAAAATTAAATGTAGTTTAAATAAAATGAATTTCTTTTTCCAAAAATCATCACCCCACACGCCATATAGAGTACAAAGTGATAAATTTCGATCCTACTAACAAATCAATTATGGCACATAAACTTCCTTGAACCAATTTGGAACGATTTATATGACGAATTAAATGTATCCGCTTACGCATTAATAGCGCGGAATATATAGCGCGTTAATTGTCCCAAAATGGCCAAAACGGCTGTCTTTAAACCCCCATAACCTTACGAAAAATGATCACAGGTAAAAAATTTTTTTCCAATTTAACCTTAAGACAAAAATACTTTTTGAATGATGTAAAAAGTCCGTTAAAATGGCTAGTTAAAAAGTCGAAACTTGTCTGAAGAAGAAAACGCTCAGATCACAAATATTCCGTTATTTTCGTTACGAAAGTCGGAAACCACGGTTTTTTTGAAAAGTAATTGCATAAAGACGATAGTTTTGAAGCAAGTCTTGATAGTTTTGAAGCAATTTTAGCTCGGATGAAGATTAATTTTCAGCATTATGAAAAACTGCAAGTTTAATAGTAGTTTGTGTATTTTTTTCAAAAAAAAAATCAGAATTTGAAATAAATTTTTTTCTTCCTTTAAAAAAGTTAAATGTTTCGCATCTACGAAAGCAATTTTACCGGAAAATTTTTAAGTACAAAACTTACATTGCAAAAATATCAGAAACATTTTGATGAAAGTGACGGAAAATTTGTCCTTGGGTTGATTTTTTTTCTAAAGACAAATCTCAAATTTTTAACGAGCCCTTTTTGGCAGAATTTTTCGTTCCACCTGAAACAATTTGTTGCCGTGAGCTCAAATTTATATATAAATTTTATTTAGGATCATTTTAAGTTATAAGGGCTTGAAAATTGCTTGTTTGGTCAACATGGGATACTTAACGCTCGATTTAAATCGTACTATAAACGCGTGGGCGGCGGCTTAACCCGGCTGAGAAATTCTTCGAATTTGAAATGCAGCATACTAGTTGCTTTAACTATTTCGTTAACTTATGCCTTATAGATCAATTTTTACTTGAATTAGCGCGTGGAAGATGGTTCGTCAAAAAATTCAAAACTTAGTAAACAATTTATTGGTATTTGCATCATTTTTAATTCGAATACTCCTCCATAGACGTTAAACAGGTAATCAGATCAGTCAGAACATGGCTTTATTAGGAGCAGTCTTGCTTAGCCGCTTACGCTTTAAAAGCACGAAATTTACTGCTCGTTGACAATCCCGATTGGGCCAAATTGGCATTTTTCTTACAAAAAATTTTTGCAGGTGGACTGTCTTTTTAATTGTGAGCCCAAGTAATCAATATCTTTTACAATTTATAGAAAAGGTAGGTTAAAACTAGTTTACTACAATTTTGACGTTTGTATGGAGCCGTCAGTTTTTTTGAAAGTCAGGACAAAAAAAAATTTGACACCAGTTTCAATAACTTTCGAAAATACGCTTAGACAGCTTTTAGCATATCAAAATTAAAAGTAATTCGATCATACCGTTTAGCTTGATAATAAGATGTGAGTATAAGATTTAGTGTTTATTGTTGTGTAGCAAAGACAGCACCTGTTGGACCTGCAAGTGCAATATGCAGAACTACTGCAGAAGCAGGACCAGCAGCACAGGAGAGGAGCAGGAGGACACCCACAGTCTCCATCAGCCACCTTCCCTCCTCCTCCTCTTCCTCCTCTTCCTCAGGGGGCCAGTGGTGCCAGACTGAGCAGTGAAGAACCATCTGACCGAAGTAACAACGGAAACTCAACCTTAGGTAACATGGCTGGTCTGATTAAGATACCAGCGCAGCTGTTTTTGCCAACTTATGTGAAGCTAAAAATACCATACGAACCTTTTACTTGGTTGAATAAACCTGAAATATTTTGATACAGAGTCTCTTGGAAACGCCTTATAGTTCCAACCACTAGACTTTTTCCGCTTTTAAAATTCTTTTTCATTGTTTGTGATTTTTAAAAGCAGTGTGGTCGGAAAGTGCTGTGCTACTTGCCCAGCAACCGACTGTCCTTGTTCAATTTTATACCTCGTTTTTCTATAAACAAATACTGACTGTTACATTGTGTGTCATCTGCAGGTCTGTTCGGAAAAGGTTCACGGGAGTCGACAGCACCTCTCACCTTTTACTCCCATAACAATGTGGTACAGTCATCGCCATTTTCCGCTAGTCAATTCTCAGCATCATCAGGAGTTGCAGACATCGAAATGTATCTTGCATCTTCAACTCCAGCCAGACTGGACAGCAGAGCGCTTAGTATTTCAGGGAAGTCATTTGCAATACATGACATAATGAGCACCCAGCCAAAAGTATCGCCCTGTAAGCAAAACAACGCAAATTCGATCAACTTCTCGTTCGGAAGTCCCACCCCACAGATGTCACTACTTCGACGTCCAGTGACCACGCCCACTCCTCAACGAAGAGCCGAAAACAATGCTTGGACCGAGTCACCCTCGCTAAGCAAACCGCACAGTCGGCAGCAGCCAGCAATTCCGGTAACTTGTGCTGCAGTTTTTAGTTGCATTCCAGATGTCGTTCCGACAAGTGCTGCATCCAGGGTTTTCGAAAGAGCTCAGCAAGCTGGTTCAGACCCGGCTGGATCTCCTCAGAAAGCAAAAGTTCATTTCAGACAAACTCCGAGCCAGAATTCTCTCTCTGCTGACCATCAGCAAAGCGGTGCACCTAACGGCGGCGAGCTTCTGCCCGTCAATGTTGGTCAACCGGGGGTTACATTCCGACATCCTCCTTCTCCATCGCCTCACAGGGCACAAACACCGGGAACACCGAAACAGGTAAGAAAAAAAAAACAAACTCTACGTTGCTACTAAACCCTACTGCTTTTGACTCATAGATTCAATCATCATTCCATTTTGAAACAAAACCATGGTTATTTAAATGCATCTGAAGTTACTTATAGTGGCCAAAATGACAAAAAAAAAATTGGCTCAAAGTAAAGAACATGGAGACTAAGACTATAGAGCGATGCTTGAACTGTGGTCCTTTAGGCAAGACCTCTGACCTGCTATCTGCCAAACAGTGCACAGAGTCTGCATCTGCGACAACACCTGGAGTCTCTTGGCCACTACTTGCAAGGCTGTGCACCCCTCCTCCACGTGGACCAGAGCAGCTGCAGGGGCCACCTGCTGAAACGGAGCAACTCTCTGCTAGGAGGGGTGGGGGCGGGGGTGGGTGTATCTTCTTGGAAACGACGCTGGTTCGTGTTCGACCGAGTGAAGAAGACGTTGGTCTACTTCGGCGACAGCAGAGAGAGCAAACTCAAGGTAATAATAATAATTAATTGTTTCCAAACAATATCTAGTTACAAAGTTATTTATAAAAATTTATAAATACAAATTAGAATCGTTTGGGAGAACACCATTAAACCAACAAGGCCCGTTTTCAGGTGTCTCATTAAGCGGAGAACAAAAAAGTACTTAAATTCTTTGATCCAATGCATTGGATTTTCTACCGGTAACCATTTATTAAACGTAAAACTTCTTTATCCGCACCTTTAAACCATTCTCTATAAAAAATTAATTTAAATTTCTCAGGTAGTCTTTTCTAACCATAACTTAGAAACCAAAAAACAAACAAGTTCTACTTATTGATCAATAAAAAGTCTCAAAGCATGCCCAGTAAAATCGTTTTTCCTAGAGTGTAATTATCCAAAAATTTGTGATTAAAACTATTTAATTGAAACCGAGAAGCAACTTTCAAGAAATTGACTCAGGTGGGAAAAAATTTATCGCAAAATTGAACATTTTTCTAATTTTAGGTGTAATCGACCCTCTGTTGAGTTTATTTCTGTTTATAGCTAACTTTTGATTTGTTTTTCGCTTTGAAAATATCACGATCAACTCTTGTTCAGTAATAGAATATCTCAAGGTTTTAACTTGGCACTTTTTTCGAATAATTTTTCCGGTTAATTTCAGAACTTCGGAAGCAAAAAAATTCTCTTACGGTATATATTTTTTTATCATGCATTAATTCAGAGATTGAATCCATCCTGTGTTTACAAAAAATTAATCTGATTAGCCTTCTGATTTTCATTTCCAGCTCTAACAGTTTGGTTTTGTCGATATTTGCATAAACAAAACTCCATATTGGATGATTGATTGCACGTAACTTTTATACGCAAATATTAATTTCCGTCCAGTTAGAAACTTTCTCAATTGAAAAAACACTCCACAGAATTGCAAAATTTTGTTCTTTACCTTATTATTATGCTGATGAAAATTCCATTTACAGTCAAAGAGAATTCCAAGATATTTAAAACATTCAACATCTTCTATTTGGGTGTCATTTAAAAAATAATTTACTGGTCGTTCTTCGGTTTTCGTGCTCCGACAGTATCTCATGGTCTTGGTTTTTTTGACATTCAGTGTCAATTTGTTCTTGTCAGACGAATTCATTTTAATTACACAATTTTAAGAAGACTTATAGTAATTCCTGGTTTATTTTAGCTATGGTCACAAAATTCACTTAGAAACAATGATTTGTTTTCAGATCATGATCTGCAAAATATTTTAAAAACGTCTCATTTTTAAGCCTTAAAGTAAAGTCATGTTAAATTCACCTGACTTTTGCGTTCAACTTGACAGCTGTCACTTCTTTGTTTATTTTGCAGGGAGGCGTTCCCTTTTCTGCGATAGAGGAAGTGTACTTTGATCATCTGAAGCAGCACAGGAGTCCCAGTCCGAACTTCACCTTCATTGTGAAGACGAAGCTGAAGCCATTCTCTCTCGTGGCCCCCAGTGCATCCTGCATGCGGGTGTGGATGGACGCCATAGTGACCGGCTGCGAGGGCAACACTCTCTACCACTCATGACACTCACATCAACACCCCCACCCCTCCTCCCTCCAGATACATTTCGAAGCAATACAAACAGAAACGCCGCCCCCATCAAGAACTCTTCTTTCCCTTCTTCCCATCAAACCCCTTCTACCCCCCCCCCCCCCTCCTTCCTACGTGACGGTCCCAAGTTTTAAAAGATTTTCTCATTATTCCATTGCGTCAATCCCTTGGAATCGAAACTGAAACAAAACCGGGTCAAGTAGATAAGGTCAATTGAAGCCTTCGAATATCAATTGTAGTTTGATCAAATCAAGTTCCAGAACAAGTACGTGCGTCATCAGTCTAAAATATACAATGGAAACCCTGAAAACAAAAGAAACCAATTTCAAAACTATAACTGAGACAACACCGGCCTCTTCATTTGAACGGGTCAGAAACTCACAAAAGAATTCGATCAGTGGTCCATTTTTAGAAGATTCTAAAGCGCGTCACCCAAAACTTCAGAAATCCCAAAAAACGTTGGCTCAATGAAGTAGACAACAAATTGAGAAGACATCGTAGCCCTATCCCACATCACTACAATTGGCAGAGCCAGAAGCAAAACAGAACCAGTTCCTTCTAATCATCGCTCTCGTTCTCAAGTGCATGGTGCTATCTATTTAGCTATCTATCTGTCTGTTCACAACCCCAACACAATTCAAACTCATTTTCTATTACATGACTGGGCTCTATTTTATGTACAAATAAACCATTCAGATTTTCGAATGCTACCAGAAGGTTCTTCTTGCAAAGATTCTTACGCCGACAAAATTGAGATAGACTGGCTAAACTCAACCAGAAACGAAGATCAGTTTTGTCTTTGTTTTACACTCTATGTTTCAGAACATATTTTTTGGAGAACAACCAGATACCTTTAAATAGTTCAGCTTTTGAATGGAAACATTTTCCGGTAAACTCCTAATTAATTTCCGACTGCTAGTAGGATGGTAGGCACCGTAAAAGGATTTTATCCGGAAGTGCCATCTCTAAAGCATTTATAGATCTGGCGATGCCACTCGTTGTCCAAATCAGTGGTTTCATAGAGCAGGAGGGGGGCAGAAGGCGTTTTTTTCTCTTTCTTTCCTGAACTGCCAAAACTTTCGCCACAATCTGATAAACATTTTATACGATTGTGTGTACTGAATGGCCAAAGTTTTCAACTTTCTCGGAAACTAATGCAAAAGCATGATCAATGCCAAACCAAGCGCGTGCTTTGACTCGTAAAAAGGCATAAATCTGATGTTTTCCATCTAAATTTTTGCATAAATGGAAGAAGCAACCAGATAACTTGGTTTCAGGAAGCTTGCTAAACCATAAAATTAACCTGGCTATCTCAAAGGCCAGCAAAGTTTTCTGTAGATTGATGTTTGGAGCTGCTTTCATCAAGACTGACAGATCTTGACCCTACTTCTTTGCTTCACTGTAAGAAGTCAAAAAAGCATGCAATTGTGTGATTAAATATAATAGTGCCAACAGTCAACCAAAAATCCGAGATTTTCAAAACTTCAATCCAGTCAGAGTCAGCAAAATAATGATTCTTTGATTCTTCTAAGATCATGGCTAACTGTTTTCATCAAGACTAACAAATCTTGACCTTAATTTTCAATGTTTTCACTTTTTCACAAGGCAAAGGCTTAAGCATGCATTTGTGTGATTAATTATAATAGTGCCAACAGTCAACCAAAAATTCGAGATTTTCAAAATTTCAATCCAGTCAGAGTCAGCAAAATATTGATCCTTTGATTCTTCTAAGATCAAGGCTAACTGTTTTCATCAAGACTAACAAATCTTGACCTTAATTATTCAATGTTTTCACTTTTTCACAAGGCAAAGGCTTAAGCATGCATTTTTGTGATTAAGTATAATAGTGCCAACAGTCAACCAAAAATCCGAGTTTTTCAAAAATTAAATCCAGTCAGAGTCAGCAAAATAATGATTCTTTGATTCTTCTAAGATCAAAGCTAACTGTTTTCATCAAGACTAACAAATCTTGACCTTACGTTTCAATGTTTTTACTTTTTCATAAGGCAAAGGCTTAAAGCATGCAATTATGTGATGAAATATAATAATGCCAACAGTCAACCAAAACTACGAGATTTTCAAGTTCAATCCAGCCAGAGTCAGCCAAACAATGATTCTTTGATTCTTTTAAGATCATGGCTAACTGTTTTCATCAAGACTAACAAATCTTGACCTTAATTTTCAATGTTTTCACTTTTTCACAAGGCAAAGGCTTAAGCATGCATTTGTGTGATTAAGTATAATAGTGCCAACAGTCAACCAAAAATCCAAGATTTTCAAAAATTCAATCCAGTCAGAGTCAGGAAAATAATGATTCTTTGATTCTTCTTAGATCAAGGCTAACTGTTTTCGTCAAGACTAACAAATCTTGACCTTACGTTTCAATGTTTTTACTTTTTCTTAAAGCGAAGGCGTAAAGCATGCAATTATGTGATGAAATATAATAATGTACAACAGTCAACCAAAAATACGAGATTTTCAAATTCAATCCAGCCAGAGTCAGCAAAACAATGATTCTTTGATTCTTCTAAGATAAAGGCTAACTGTTTCATCAAGACAAAAAATTTTGACCTTACGTTTCAATGTTTTCACTTTCTCACAAGGCAAAGGCTTAACGCATGCAATTGTGTGATTAAATTTAATAGTGTCAACAGTCAACCAAAAATTCGAAATTTTCAAAAATTCAATCCAGTCAAAATCAGCAAAAAAATGATTCTTTGATTCTTATAAGGTCAAGGTTAACTGTTTTCATCAAGACTAACAAATCTTCACCTTACGTTTCAATGTTGTTACTTTTTCATAAAGCAAAGGCTTAAAGCATGCATTTGTGTGATTAAGTATAATAGTGCCAACAGTCAATCAAAAATCCGATATTTTTCAAAATTTTAATCCAGTCAGAGTCAGCAAAACAATGATTCTTTGATTCTTCTGTTAGATCAAGGCTACTTGTTTTCATCAAGACTAACAAATCTTGACAATACGTTTCAATGTTTTTATTTCTTCATAAGGCAAAGGCTTAAAGCATGCATTTGTCTGATTAAGTATAATAGTGCCAACAGTCAACCAAAAATCCGATATTTTTCAAAAATTCAATCCAGTCAGAGTCAGCAAAATAATGATTTTTTGATTCTTCTAAGATCAAGGCTAACTGTTTTCGTCAAGTCTAACAAACCTTGACCTTACGTTTCAATGTTTTTACTTTTTCATAAGGCAAAGGCTTATAGCATGCAATTATGTGATGAAATATAATAATGCCAACAGACAACAAAAAATACGAGATTTTCAAATTCAATGCAGCCAGAGTCAGCAAAACAATGATTCTTTGATTCTTCTAAGATTAAGGCTAACTGTTTCATCAAGACAAAAAAATTTTGATCTTACGTTTCAATGTTTTCACTTTCTCACAAGGCAAAGGCTTAAAGCATGCAATTGTGTGATTAAATTTAATAGTGCCAACAGTCAACCAAAAATTCGAGATTTTCAAAATTTCAATCCAGTCAGAGTCAGCAAAAAAAGATTCTTTGATTCTTCTAAGATCAAGGCTAATTGTTTTCATCAAGACTAACAAATCTTGACCTTACGCTTCAATGTTTTTACTTTTTCATAAGGCAAAGGCTTAAAGCATGCAATTTTGTGATGAAATATAATAATGCCAACAGTCAACCAAAAAAACGAGATTTTCAAATTCATTCCAGCCAGAGTCAGCAAAACAAGGATTCTTTGATTCTTCTAAGATCAAGGCTAACTGTTTTCATCAAGACAAAAAATTTTGAGCTTACGTTTCAATGTTTTCACTTTTTCACAAGGCAAAGGCTTAAAGCATGCAATTGTGTGATTAAGTATAATAGTGCCAACAGTCAACCAAAAATCCGAGATTTTCAAAACATCAATCCAGTCAGAGTCAGCAAAACAATGATTCTTTGATTCCTCTAAGATCAAGGCTAACTGTTTTCATCAAGACTAACAAATCTTGACCTTAATTTTTAATGTTTTCACTTTTTCACAAGGCAAAAGCTTAAGCATGCAGTTGTGTGATTAAGTATAATAGTGCCAACAGTCAACCAAAACTCCGAGATTTTCAAAATTTCAATCCAGTCAGAGTCAGCAAAATATTGATTCTTTGATTCTTCTAAGATCAAGGCTAACTGTTTTCGTCAAGTCTAACAAATCTTGACCTTACGTTTCAATGTTTTTACTTTTTCATAAGGCAAAGGCTTATAGCATGCAATTATGTGATGAAATATAATAATGCCAACAGCCAACAAAAAATACGAGATTTTCAAATTCAATGCAGCCAGAGTCAGCAAAACAATGATTCTTTGATTCTTCTAAGATTAAGGCTAACTGTTTCATCAAGACAAAAAAATTTTGACCTTACGTTTCAATGTTCTCACTTTCTCACAAGGCGAAGGCTTAAAGCATGCAATTGTGTGATTAAATTTAATAGTGCCAACAGTCAACCAAAAATTCGAGATTTTCAAAATTTCAATCCAGTCAGAGTCAGCAAAAAAAGATTCTTTGATTCTTCTAAGATCAAGGCTAATTGTTTTCATCAAGACTAACAAATCTTGACCTTACGCTTCAATATTTTTACTTTTTCATAAGGCAAAGGCTTAAAGCATGCAATTTTGTGATGAAATATAATAATGCCAACAGTCAACCAAAAAAACGAGATTTTCAAATTCATTCCAGCCAGAGTCAGCAAAACAAGGATTCTTTGATTCTTCTAAGATCAAGGCTAACTGTTTTCATCAAGACAAAAAAATTTTGAGCTTACGTTTCAATGTTTTCACTTTTTCACAAGGCAAAGGCTTAAAGCATGCAATTGTGTTATTAAGTATAATAGTGCCAACAGTCAACCAAAAATCCGAGATTTTCAAAATTTCAATCCAGTCAGAGTCAGCAAAACAATGATTCTTTGTTTCCTCTAAGATCAAGGCTAACTGTTTTCATCAAGACTAACAAATCTTGACCTTAATTTTCAATGTTTTCACTTTTTAACAAGGCAAAAGCTTACGCATGCATTTGTGTGGTTAAGTATAATAGTGCCAACAGTCAACCAAAACTCCGAGATTTTCAAAATTTCAATCCAGTCAGAGTCAGCAAATTAATGATTCTTTGATTCTTCTAAGATCAAAGCCAACTGTTTTCATCAAGACTAACAAATCTTGACCTTAAGTTTCAATGTTTTTACTTTTTCATAAGGCAAAGGCTTAAAGCAGGCAATTATGTGATGAAATTTGATAATGCCAACAGTCAGTCAAAAATACGAAATTTTCAAATTCAATCCAGCCAGAGTCAGCAAAACAATGATTCTTTGATTCTTCTAAGATCAAGGCTAACTGTTTTCATCAAAACAAAGAAATTTTGACCTTACGTTTCAAGGTTTTCACTTTTTCGCAAGACAAAGGCTTAAAGCAAGCAATTGTGTGATTAAATTTAATAGTGCCAAAAGTCAACCAAAAATTCGAGATTTTCAAAATTTCAATCCATTCAGAGTCAGCAAAAAAATGATTCTTTGAATCTTCTAAGATCAAGGCTAACTGTTTTCATCAAGACTAACAAATCTTGATCTTAATTTTCAATATTTTCAATTTTTCACAAGGCAAAGGCTTGAAGCATGCATTTGTGTGATTAAATATAGTAGTGCCAACAGTCAACCAAAATCCGATATTTTCAAAATTTAAGTCCATTCAGAGTCAGCAAAAAA